ATTATACCCCTAAAGTAAGGGGTGGGTTTACAACAGAGGTCGGATTACACACGAGGAACTGAAGTATATTTCAGGTACATCACATATACTTCCTCACCACTGAGGAAGGACTAGTGTTGTCTGCTCTGGTTTCTTGCTGCTTACATTTTACGTCTACTACTTATATTTACTTTTTAGCATGTTACTTAATGTAAAACCTAAATTGGATGACTCTGGAATCGAGACGAGAAATACATTAGCTTACATTCATTTATAAAATTATGAGCAGCCAAATCAATATTAAGTCGGATGACTGTTTGCCAAAGATAGACTCCAAAGAAGCCATAATTCCCAACTTTTTGAAATCGCAGCCAAAACGAATACATATATAAATTCATTCCCACCAAAAATGGTTAAAAAGTGGAACAGACTTGCCCAGGATGCTGTTGAAGCCCCTGTGATAAAACTGTGATAAAATCAAGAAGATTATCTCTAAGCCACTTTTAAAAAAATATCTTGATTATAGTAGAAAATGATCGGTAATGTAAAAAAAAAGACAAACTACAAAAAGCGATGATAAATAGGCCTATGCTTTCTCACGTCCAAGAAAATGCTTGGAGTAAGTAATAGAACTACATTGAAGGTTCAAGAATATAAAATCAGTACCCTCTGTAGGTGGAACCAGGGAAGAGTGAAAATCTCACACCAAATTTATTTTCTTTTTATACACATTGCCTTCAGGCTGATTTTATAGTATGTAGAAGTTTATAGAAAAATAACTTGGGTGATAAACCCTCACAATTCTGTTTTTGTCACGTAAGATAACGCACATTTTCCGGAACCTTTAACATAATAATTTGGTAGACTTCTTATTTGAAGTGAAGTTTTTGTTGATTTTTTTTTTCCTTTTTAGAATACTGTATAATAACAATGACAATGACAAAAATATTTATTTCCTTTTAACCTGAAAATTTATGAAAAATATAAATGTACAACATTTTTAAGATCAAAGAAAATGAGAAATTCCTGAAGCATAGCTTGTAATTGGAAATCCCAAATTACATAATTAAATACTTCTTTTACATATAAGGTACAAAAATAATTCAAAAGCCTATTTTACTTAAATTTAAAAAGTTTAAAATTTAATAGAAAAATTCTATTTCTTTTCTGTAAATTATATTTTGTTTTCATTAATAACAACATCTTAATTACTTTTAGTTTCTTTATATTTATAGATGATTAAGCAATAATAATGCATGGAAAGGTTCATAAATAGCAATGACATGTATTGCGAACCTATAGTCAATGAGGACTCCAAGCAAAGGAAAAATTAAAGAGGAGAGAGGTTAGGTTTAATGGCATGTCTGAATGCCTAGGGCTTAAAAGCAGAGGAAAACGAGAACTAGGTAATCTATTCCATAATAAGGTTGTATGTTGATTCACAAGAGAGGAAAGTAGACTGTATGCAGTATCTTGTTATCCTTTATTGCAATCACCATCAATCATATATATTACATACTGTAAATTTAGTGTTAAATCTATTTTCAGTCTCTTCTTGTTCTAATAATTTTCCATAAGATTCCCTCTGATTCTAATTCTTCTATGTTTTAAGTATTTTTCTGACCTCTGTCTATCACTTCTTCTAATCACTCTTCTTAATATCTAAGTAATGTCATTCTCTATATATGCAGGACCAAATAAGAGGATCTATCAATTCCAAAAGGACGGTCAATGACACCTCGCTGAGGATTCATACACAGCAGCTAACGGTTAGCAGGATCCAGATTACAAACACACACGCTCACCTGTGCATTCACACAAGAAAATCCTAATAATGATATTAAGAATATGATGGTGGGATCATTGGCCAATAGGAAACTTGACATTGGAAATGTGAAATTGGTTACTTAATGACAGAAACATGCTCAACTTGCTAACTGATAGCATTCCCTAACAGTTAGCGTATCCAGATCCCGGTAACGGTTAGTGCTAACCGATCAGGGTTTCTATGGGTGCTAACGGTTAGATCCCGATCTGGATGCTACTGTAGGTCTTTAGTGTGAACCTGACTTGACTCATCTACCTGGTTGAATAACCTGTTACTTCCTGTAGTTGACCATAAAGTAGGACGATAAGCAAGTAAATGGAGAGATTAGGTGAGTTTGGGATCGTTGATCAACCTTATTGCTTTTGAATGAAACCATGTCCAAAACAGCAAGAGATAACTTGGAAGCTCCACCCCACACATGAGAACAGTACTCAATTTGGGGACAGATCAGACACTTGTATAGGGTGAGAATATGAAGAGAAGAAAAATATTTACGAGCACAGGAAAAGAAAGACAAGCTTCCATGATGCTCAGTTGGTCTGACTCTTGGAGATTCCAGTTGAGGTCAAAAGAAACATTAATCCTAAGTTGCGTAAGAGAGTCAGAGATACGAATATCTTCTTCATTCATCTTCACGGCAAAACACATTTTATTACATTTCCGTGAAATAACAATTTGTCCTGTTTTGTTTGACTTTGACCTTCATTAGATTGTATAAATTGTGATTTTACCGGAAGTAAAGAACAGACATTAAAGGAAATTTGTTTCACTCTTAGAAATACAGTCTGCTTCTTACTTCATTATAATCGTCAAGATTTCTATATTTACAGACGATACACCGATTGGCTCTGTGCCAATAAAGTATTATTAACAAGGAAATCGATCAAATTACTCCTTTTACACTTTGTAGGCAAAAAAAAAAAACATAACATGCTGCTTTTGCCTGATCGACACAAAATCCTGCTTGGCAAAAATTTATTACCAAGCAGAAGTCCAAAATACTTGTATGTGTCAGCAATTTTTCAAGCTTTAATAAATATATTTTCAGATTTATTATCCTATTCTGTAGTTAACATTTTGTCTACTGAAATGGATGAGAAGGGTGATATTGGCATTGAACACTGACTACAGTACTACTGTAGTACCAGAGTTTCAACCAACAAGAGAACAGTAAAAAAATACAACATCCTCCCACCCACCACACAAACTAAAGATTATATACCACATGTCTTTGTGAGAACTACAACAAGAAAAGAATGAACAATACGGTACATATTTTACAAGTAAAAAAGCTAGCACAAAAAATGAAATTACCATTCCCACACCCACCCCCTAAAAAAAAAAAATAATTCATAAATAAATAAATAATATATACTAACTGTATTTTAATCTAATTTTCGAGACTCAAATGCACCAGCAGAACCCCAAAAAATGAACAACTTCGAAACCAAACAAGTGTCCCCTGAATAAGGATGTGCCAAGAACAAGGAGCTATACCGTTGAAAGATATATTCCTTGACTTGTGGCCAATTCAGCATTTCCTTAATAAGGGTATTCCCTAGGAGAGGTTTCATTGTGTAAAGCTTCGTCTAGATTATATTTGACAAAAAAAACTGTTGTATACCCATATATAGACATGATATGCCTATATATGGTCATGATGTGATGTCATCATGACCATATTTAGTCATGTCACATGTTTTTGTCAAATCTGGACAGGGCATAAGCAAATCAGACTCAGTTTTAGTTGAGTGGTTGAGCCAACTGCACTATGCTGTTCCCTACACAAAGGTTATGCTATATAATAATACACATTATATTCGGTGCCAAGGAAAACTTGTGGTTAAATGTTCCACAATTGACTTCAACTGAGTTCAAAGTTCTATTGACTATCAAGCCACCTCCTCCTACTGTATTCATCTACATTAATGTCAGAACAGTCAAAGAATTTACCTGAATCACTTCCTGACTCAACAACAGCAATACTCAGATATCCACTGCTTTCACAACTCACGCGGCCAATGTTCGCAATGTTCCATCGTTTATACACCTCCGGGGGATTGTGCGTGAGAGATACGAATGAATTTGTGACGTGAAGATAATATCGTTCCAGTTTATTATCATCATTTTTCAGTTGAACTGACCACCTCTCTGCAATAAATCATTAATAATTAGGTTAAAAAATGTTGCAAAAGATCTACCAATCCAAAATGTTGATAATCTAGGGTCAGCTTCTGTGGATTTATTCGGTGTAAATACCACGGATAACCCACGAAAGTCTAAAGAAGATTTATTTCCAGTGCGGTCCTTCTGGTGGTGATTTGGCAGTACCATGGAAGACAATCCCCTACTCTTTTCCGAAGAGCGTACAGCGTTCTTTAACATGCACAAGGGCCATTTTTGCACACAGGACCACGGCTTAAACGTCTCATCCGAAAGACGGTGCTCTGAAACACATGGGGAGCAGCGACGGGAATTAAACCGGAGACCGAGAAATCTCCATGGTTCAGCAAACACGCAGTGGCTACCACCAGTTTAGCTGACTGAGCTAGCTGCTTTTCTTTTGAACAATAACAATGTTTTACAAACGGAAAGATCAAAATAGTTTTTAGCTTTAATAATTTGATACCGTAACCAAATTTTTGTCCTTGGATATAGTTTAGTTATATAATTTTTTGATAAAAAACTGTTTTATGCCCATATGATGCCATTGCGACTATAATTAGGCATGTCACTGAACAGGGGCGTTAGAAGCACTTATAATCATGCTTTATTTATTTTCCGCTATGGACAAAACATAGCTTTGTGCTGCCCTCTATACTCAATAGTCACGCATCAAAAAGGTTAGAAACAGGAAATAATTTATATAACTGTGTAAAATTTACAGTTGATAGTTCAAGAAGAATACTAATATTTATTTAAACAAACCCAGAAAATCAATGTAATTTAGTGCCAATAATTTCAGATCAATTAAACTTTTATCTGTTGTTTTTAAGTCAAGTTTTTCTGTCCCTGATTTCATGACCCAGATGTGAATGACTGTGTAAAAAATGTTGCAAATATCAGTATGAGTATTATTTGCATGCGTAAAACGTGTCAGTTGTATTTGCATGTGTAAACATGTAAGTTGTGTAAACACCAATTTGCATATGTTCATGTGTAAACCTGTATTTACACATGTAAATACATGTTTACACATGTAAATACATGTGTAAACATGTATATACAGTACATGTGTAACTTGAATTTGCATGTGTAAAAATGTATGTATCAACACCTATCATATGCTCATGTGTAAGCATGTATTTACATGTGTAAACATGAACATGTGCAAAGAGGTATGTGTAAATACCTATTTGCATATTACGGCAAAGACAAGCCAAACTAGTCACTCTTTACAACAGTCAATTTTTAGTTATTAATACAGGGTTCAACAGTAAAATGAAAGCTATTAAATGTTAAAAGAATCATTTAAATCCAACATTTCATTATGACGTTACAGAAGTTTAAACATACAGCTGTAAAGAACAATATTTGAGAAATCAGCCTTCAAAGTTTAGGATTTTGGGCATTTCTCAGGCAGAAACCATCACTAAATCATTAAAAATTTTTGTTTTAACATTGAAAATGTGGAAAATAACTGCATATGATATAGATATATATAAAGGTCAGTTTAGTGTAATAAAATAGATTTCAAAAATGTTGACATTCCGGTCATGTATTGGTCATTATCTCTGAAACAGGATTTGCGACGAGTGACTAGTTTGGCTCGTCTACGCCACATACTGTATCTTCATGTGTAAACTTGAATTTGCATGTGTAAACAGGTATGTGTAAATATCTATTTGCATAACCTGTTTTTGTGTCTACTGCCCCCAACAGGTGTGTTCGAAACTCGAACACACGTTATTTTACGCCTTTTTACCGTCATTTGAAGGACACCCTCTAGAACATGGTAGTACTCTTCGTGATCAACGACATAACGTGGTATCTCCAAGAGTTACTCATTTTAAAAGTGTTTTTAGTTTAATAATAGTAGTAGGCCTATACAGAATATTGTTATGAAATAAAATTTTCATGAAATATCCAGATACACTACAATAATACACACATTGCTGGGAGCCTATTTTGGAATCTGTAAACATGTTTATGGTACTTGCTTTCTAACCCCAGGGCCCAGAGATAACATTCTATCAAACCAGGATATGTACATAATAAATTGTATATGGTTTCATTTTTATGATCATTTTCATTAGTACAAATTTAACCTAACAATAACAGAGACACACTTGAAACAGGATATCTATTGTAATAGTATAAACAAATACATCCACCTCCTTAGGATATACTTGTATAATGACACACTATTGTTGTTGTATTGTATAAGGTCAGGCCTGGAATTGATAGTCAAGATTTGATTATTTTTTGACCTATATTGGAATATGCCCATTGGGTATGAATTAAAATAAAAATCAAATTTATCAAAGAGCTCTCAAGATTATATTCCATACACCATGAGTCTTAGTAATAGGAGGCTTGACCTGTGCAAAAATCCCAATCCATATCCTAAATTGTATTCTTCTGGAACCATACAACCAAGATTATAATCTCAATTCTTTGCATGTTTAAATCCCTTCTATTATTAATTTTTACGTTTTTAATAACTGGTAGAACCAGCATTTGGTATGCCATGGAGGAAATAAATAAATTCTTTATCATAAATTATATCCTCCATGGTTGTAGTACATAAGAACTTGTTTGATGGTGCTCTTCTTTGCAAACCTTTGCTAAACTTAAATTTTATAAAAACGTTCGAGATTAATAATTAATTTGTAAAGTTAATGCAGTGACAGTAATAATGAGGATGACAATAACGATGAAAATAATAATAGTGAATAGTGAATAATAGTAATGAATAACCTTTAACCTTTACAGTAATAATATCTTTTTTTATTCAGCTTTAGGCACTATGGCCAAGGATATGCCAAACTAAATCACTCTTCTTAAAAGTGGCAATCCCATTACAAGACAACAGAGGTTGTCTGGACCAGTACACTGAGGTAAACCCCTACTCACCTCGAATGATGTACTGGGTTCTTTAAAGTTCTTATGAGCCATTTATGTACACTGGGCCTATGATTTATAGTCCTTATTCAAGAAGACTTGTTCCACCTCCAGAGCCATAGTCGAACGTGCCGTTCAAACCAGCGCCGATATTATGGCTGTAGGTTGTGGCACTAATCTTAACCACCCAGTCAATCGATTCGCCATAATAATAATAATAATAATGATAAATACATGTTAATGTTAATTAGCTTATATGAGAATGTTGCCTTGAAATAATGATAATGAGTGCAGTGAGTGGTTGGCTTAATATACAAGGTCTCAAATAGTTTCATCTGGTTTCTGTGATGTATGAACATGGAAGATTTCTTGTAAATAAACCATTAAATATACATACTGTTAATTAATCAGCCCTGAAACTATTGGTAGAGGGTGGCTCACAACATCAAGAATCGTCAACAAGAATAGTCAACAGACCAGTCATTATCTGATGAAGATCCGTTGATGGTTAACGGATTGAAACGTCACGAACAGTGCGTTAATTTAATGGTTTACTTACAAGGATTTTTCCATTAACCATATAATAACTGTAGTTATATATTTTTCATTTAAATTACTTTTTATCTACATACCATGTGTTAGATGTTCCTTTACAATTTTGCACCAGCTGTCAGCCTCGCTTTTATTTTTGGTTTGGAAAATTAAGTTATCGCTCGTCAGAAAAATTACAAAATATGCCTCTTTGCCAACAGTTCCTTCCTCTATTCCAATAAAATGGTCCTTATCAAGAATATAGCATTTCCGTTTGCTCTTCATTCCATTGTTTTTTGGGCATATAGTTAATTGGTATCTGCAAGGATGTACTAAAGTGAAAAAGGAAGGGTTTGTAACAATATTTATCCAACATATTTTCACAAGATATAGAAAACTCCTTAGTAAGTGGTAAATCAGGTAAAGGTAAAAGTAAGAGTATAACCCATAACTCGCAGCATCATTGTGCAGAATTCCGTATGGGTGTTGTCAGTGAATATCTAGACGCGGTAAAAAGGCGCTTACAGTAGTTACAATATTCACATCATTCCACAGGTTTTGGAGAGGCATGTTAACAAAAAAACAAAACAAAAAAATTGTACGGCCTTTGGAGAAAAGCAACAAACCAAAGCGCACACAGCACCAAGGTGGTGGATATGTGAGAGAAATCCCCTCCAAAAGGTTAGAAAATTTATGTAGTAGTACTAGGTGCTAAGCCAGTATGTCTAGACCAACCATTGGTATGGTAGGGTACATAAATTTTGAGATGTAACCTTTTAATTAGATGGTTAGCAGATGATGTGCGAGTCTCCAGGGGCTACGCCAATGCACCAGACCCTGTTACACCACTAATCTAGAACAAGAGTATAAGTGCAAATGGATGGATGTTTAAAGAACACTAAACAAAAATAAATCCAGACCAAAAATCAAATATAACAGGAAAAAATTACATAAATATAACCAAACAATAATTGAAAAAAATATCTGAGCACAAATTAATGGAGTCTGGAAATAAAAATACTATAAACATTATTAACATATTAACAAAAGACGGACAAATTCAAATATTTCACTTTGTTTTTTTATTTGTAGTAGACAGTAGGCCCTAGTTTATGGTTTACATATTGCATGATACTGATTAAAAAAAAAACAGTCTAAGTCCAATAAAATTTACATTATTACATGAGTAACTAACAACAATGAAAGCTAATATTATTTATTATTAATCTCTACTTACCTTCTGATTTGATTTCTTCAAATACTACCCACTTTTGCTGGAACAAAATAAATATAATATTAAGCATAGATTTATAAATATCCTATCTTTAAATTAACATTACTTCAGCTACATTCAACGGATGTAATAATTATAGCACACGTCTCCCTCCAATTAAAGACCACTTTGGGACCTGAGTTTACATGGTCTTTAGCAGCTTTGGTCTCTAATTAGAATAATAAAGATAAATAACCATGGTTAATAATGTATGGGACCACAGAAAAGAGGGAGATCTTTAATTAGACGGAGACTGGTACTGGTACAGGCATTTATAATGCGCCTCTTCCTTGCGGTTATAAAGCGCAGTTCCTTTCCCTGGTCATTGGTCCACATGCGAAGTGTTGCTGCTGGTAATCAGCGCAGGAGCAGGCAACCCCACCAGGTACCCACTTATACTCCTGGGTGGAGAGAAGCAATGCAGATAAAGTGTCTTGCTCAAGGACACAAGCGAAATGCACAGCGAGGGATTGAAACCCCGACCTCGAGGTTGGGAAACCAAACCGTTCCTGCTGCGCCAAACCACTTTTCATTGTGAGTGTGCAGTATATTCAGTCTCTCGGCTTTTTAGCAAGCTGTTTTACAGATATTGCGCAATAATCACTCTACAGGACATAGATCTTATAATTACAAGATAGCGTTCTCCGCGATTTCTGCGTTCAAATTCTGTAACAACGCAGTGTAGTGTGCCCTCCCACAATTACAATTACTTTTAAACTTTGACATCTATGATCTACATGCAAATTCTGGAACAACCACCATTGTAACAACGAGGACACCCTCTCTCAATTACAATTACTTTTTAAGCTTCTTTTAAATGTTTCCGATAATTTATTGGATAATTAAGCGCTGCAGAAACATGGCCTTAGAACCATAGATTTTACGGTCTGGTACTGTAGTTTGGAGAAGGTAGACCTAGACGATAATGTGCAAATAATGTAGGCCTATGTTTGTTTGTTGTGTTACAGAAGATGGGGGGAGTCCTCGGAACATATACTAACCCGTGGCAAAAGTGGAAAAGAAAAATCACATTTGGTGCGATAAGTTTACTCAATTTATTATTAGACACACCATTTTGATGAGTTATGAATAATTTGAAAAATATATGTCTTCATATTCGTAAACTTGTTTTGGCATGGCAGCGAACTCCCATGCAAATGTATGGTTCCAGTGACACACTTAAATAATACATACATTTCTGTCATTAAATTACTTACTCTTAAAGGTTTTTTTTTCTAATAATCAGTATTTCATTGTTGATTGCTAATGTTTATTCATATGGGTTGGACATAGGAATTCACTTTAAGATAGGAAAAATCCCCCATACTGTAAACAATTGGATGATTAATCAACCATTTAATGCAGAATTAAGGGACAGGAAATTTAGTAAATGCTCAAACACGCCCTATCCTACCCACACCTGAGACAATTACATTGTAAAGGTCGCCTATTGAAAACCACTATGTGTAAGTAAAGGCCGGATCCTCAATTTCTCTAGGCATTCAGTATTGCCTTTAATTCCATTGGTAGGTCTGGTACATTTAACCGCACTAATTCATTCAATACACTTACGTTATCTACATATTATTTTATCTACATATATTTTCGAACCTGTGCTAAATCCTATTGTTTGCCTAGGTGTCAACCACAATATTTTATCAGCTTGACTAATTCTAACTGGATATAGCTGGAGAATACTGATCTGGAGGTGTTATTTTTAGAGCTTTTTTGAAATGATTTATCAGTATGTCTTATTATATTTATTCAAAATCAAGCTAATATCTATATAAAAAAAAAAACTGATAAAATATATGTATTTATTACTATATATATTTTGGGCCAAGTTAAAATAAATTTATATTTTGCATACCCATACTCCTGTTTATATTTTTTCTTTCATGAGGTTAAACCAACCAGAATTGAATTATTATATAACAGACGTGCCTATTTCTGGAGCTGACTGGTCAAGGATGTGTCACACCCAAACTTTTGGTGACAATATCAATCAAGGCCAATTAAAATCAAGCGCGCACTTGTTTTCATGCCGAAAATAAATAGTTTCGAGCTGGCATCATCGTAAGCTCGCCTGGAAGTTCACAATTTTACTATTTTTTTCTGATCAACTCCTCAAGAAAAAGCAACAAATAGCTGGAAGATGAGTAGTAGTATAATAGAATGAAACAAGCAATGGGCATATGTGGCAGTGTGAATGTAAGCTGGGAGGTGGGGTGTGGGTATTGAACAGTCAATCAATCAGTGAATCAGTCAATTCAGGCCCTTTGCCAGTTTTTCTGGGTGTGAGGTCCACTGTCGAAGCCCCAGTGGGGTCGGCGAAACCCCCAAAGCAAGAGGATTTTTGTGCTTTATGGGTCTAAATAATGCTATGAAAGCAGATATGTTTGAAAATGTCTGTGTCTGGGTGGGTCTGCACGTGCATTAGTTGGGTTGGAGGACTTATTTAGGAAATTTAAAGAGGGGGTTTCGCCAGAAAAGAGCAGGGTTTGCTAGAAAAGGGGGGTTCTCCCGAACCATAAACCCCCCACCCCGGATATGGGCCTGCAATAAATTAATTAATCAATCAATAAAAAACAAAATTAAAATTAGTTCCATATTACAAACACGTACATCAAAATGGCTAGTAAAATACATAAAAACGATACACCTTCAAACACACAATAGGTAGTTTTCGCTGCACGACTTTAACGGATGACCTCATATTTATTCATCTTGCGTTGTGGAGTATGTTAATTTCAGGATTTTACGTGCTCGACGTACCTTAGTTATGGGTTTGTGCATGCATATTTCAATTTATTTTAAAAAAGGGGCGGAACTATTGTGCTGCATGTTGGCTACTAACGTTAAAGTTAAGGTTAACATCGTGCGGCGAAAACTACCTAGTAACAAGATACAATAAGCATTACCATATGACATCAAGATAAAATATTAAATGATCCAGTTTAAATCATTAAAATAAATCAAGATAATAATCAATCATTAAAATAATAAATCAAGATATTAATCAATCATTAAATGTATTAAGAGATTAATCAATCATTATGTATCAATTAGGATATCAATCAATCATTACATGTATCAATTAAGATATTAATGAATTATTAATCAATTGATTAGTTATTCAATAATTATAATCAAAACATGAATTATGGTATATAAAATTCAATGGAGACCTACTTTACATTCAAGATTGTAAAGCTCCAAGTAGCCAGCATGAATCTGATTCGTTCCGGGGTCTATATTCCTTTTACTTCTTCCCTTCCATTGCGAAATTATAGCCGTCATAGCTTGAAAAAATTAACAGCAAAATAAAAAAAAAACAGTAAATGCGCATTTATAGACGTCATAGCTAGAAATAATAAACAGCAAAAGAAAACAAGATTTTTATTAGTCACACTTACGCGATACTTAAAAATGCATGCCTGTATTATGGTCACTGTGTATCAAGATTTTTCGCATGGGTGTAGGCTTGGGGATGTGGATGCATCCCCCAATAATAAAATGATTATTAAAGCCCAGCAAAACTTTATTGTTAAAGAAATATCTGGTTTTTATTAGGAAGATTTATAAATATAATATGAAATTGCTAGTTTAACTGAATTGAAAAATGATGTAAACAATTTTTCACATGATTTTAGCGAAGATTTTTTGCTAACCTTTGTCCTAAACCTACCGTTGATACATAGCCATGAACAGTAGAGATTGCTAACAGACAGAACAGCGGTCTTATTCGCCATCGGGAACCAGTACAAGTTAAATTTGGTAGGTTAAATGGCCGATAGTAGTTCAACTGACACCGGATTGGTAAATGGTAGTTCAAGTCCCTAATAATTCTCAGTAAAGTAGCTGCACAAGTGTCTCATGTCTTGGAGTGGCTGCTGCACCCTCCCCACCACAAATGTCTCGTGTCTTAGAGTGGCTGCTGCGCACCCTCCCCCAATTCCCTCCTACCCCTTGCTATACAAGTGTGCCCACCGGGTGGACACTCAATTTATTTTGCGGACAACTCTCAACTTAAGGCCAACTCAGACAGCGTCGGCCGACGCAGCCCAACCTGATTTATTGTCGGGGACAGTCTTGAGCAGTCGTGAGAAATACATGTTTAATATTCTACGACGCGACTGCCCCCGACGCACACCACCGCGTCTGCATTTAACTCACACATACCCGACGCGACAACAAATTGCGTTGGGCTGCGTCGGCCGACGCTGTCTGAGTTGGCCTTTAGTTGTACCTTGTTGAAATATAATGGGTAAGTTACAAGGTGGCAACGAAAGTACTGAAAACGTGTCCTTAACACACAAGATATCACACAAGTTTTAGCACACCAATAATAAAATTTTTAAAAACACACCTTCAAATACAAGAAAATAAATTAACGAAAAACATCCTTGCCAAAAAAAATTTATTGTACTTGTATTGTATAGGTATTTGTAGTATAGGCATTAATAATAGTAGGCCTATGAAAGGGAGACATGTGGTAGAGATATATATATTTAAAAAAAAAAAACACCAAAACAAAAGGCCTGGCCCAGGGTAACAGAGGCCCGGAAGCTCATGTATCACTCCCACCCACATCCTTCTTAGCATTAGATGGAAGGGGTACTGTAGGCCTAGCCTAGGCCTACTTCTAAAAAGGTTGTTTCTCTACCAAGTAGTTGTGTGAATATTAACTAAACACTACTCACTAACGAAGGCTTAAATATTTAAACTCTTCAAGTTTCTCCCTGGTAACTGTTTGGTTGTTTTCACTACTACTGCACAGTGTAACAAAACTTTGCACTTCAAATAACCACGAAATACAAAAAAATAAGCATTGGTATCATTCTTCTCCACTTCCGGGACAGTTTTATTTAAGTTAACGCTCCAATGATCATGGTTACGCTCCAATCGTCTGACCAAATAAATAGTAGCGGTATTTTTATGTGTATGATGGTAGGTTAATAATACCGTTTATAAATAATTTGCTTCCTCCATGGAAAATCAGTCAAGTAAAGAATAAAGGTGGCGTATGATTGCCATCTACTGTAATTTGTATTTGTAGGCCTATTTTTGTATTTTATTCAAACATTGAATGTCAACACGAGTACGGATGAGCATGGGCCTACATAAAATATAAAAAATATCATTTAAATAAATATATACAACAGAAAGTAAAACTCTACAAAATAATCAAGCGTAAAGGATAACATAAAAATGAGTAAATATTAAGATAGAACATAAGCTTGTTTAATGTTTTCATAAATATAGGCCCTAGGCCTACAATGCAAAAAATTTCAATACAGTTTGAGCCTCAGTTACTTTTTGAATCAGACGAACTTTTGCAGCACATCAAAAAAAAAAATTGTCATCAACATGGTAAATAAATCCACAAGCTGCTGATATCTAAAAGCGTGTTAACATTGATTAATTTCGACCAGGAGTTATTTCATATCACATTTTCTGCTCTCGAAAAACAGCATGATTAGGCCTATTTTTCTTGGGTTAAAAACTTGCCGCCGCAAGTGTTGAATATTTTATCAAAGAGAAAGTACTTTTTTCAAAACCACAGTTTAGGGAAGGCAAACAGATGACAAGATATTTTATACAGCCTATATTGAATTAGGGGCCTATCGTATTTATTCGAGTAACGCCCAAAGGGTTTTTTTTGTTGTTGTTGTTGTTGTTGTTGAGGGGGTTTTATTCGAGGGAGACGTTTACTTTTTTGGTGTAACATGGATACGTATACTCAAATAAACGCCCCTTAATTTCTCACTGTATGAACTACAACACATAACCAAATGTGAATTGCGCCGTTCATGAAGACTAAAGGCCTGTTTATACTTCAACGATATCGATAACGATAAAAAGATAAAAAGCAATTGTTCATATAGAAAATAAAAGAAATAAGAGAAGTTTTTACACTAGAACGATTCGATAACGATTTATCAATTATGCGATAACAATATATTTTGACAAATCAAATCAGATGACGTCATAATCATGGGAAAACATTAAAATCGTCGTAGTAGCAACGATTTTATCGTTTGTCCATGATTATGACGTCATCTGATTTGATTTTTTAAAATATTTTGTTACTGCATACACGATAAATCGTTATAGAATCGTCCTAGTGTAAAAACTTCTTATTTCTTTTGTTTTCTATATGAACAATCGCTTTTTAGCAACAGGCCTTTAGGAGAAGAACATTAATAGAATGTGTTGAAAATGATTGCTTACATTTATATTTATTTACAGTATTCGAGGCAAAATAAACTCCCCGGGGCGTTTATTCTAAATGAAGCCCTAGAGTAGAGGGGGCGTTTACTGTATTCAAAGCGGGGTGTTTATTGGAATTAATACGGTAATTGATTATCGAGTTCACTGTCCACTGGACTCCCAGAAATCGATAGCAACATAACCCAGTAGAACTTCGTAAAAGTTTAGATAATTGGTAACTATAGAGGGCAGCAATCATATTTGTATAAATGTCAAATTAATTTAACAACATTGATTCACATAATTTCCACTCGATTTAAAAAGTTTTTAAGTCAACTGACATTAGGTTAGTTGTGATTGTCATATTATATATTGATATCGGTCAATTTTGGTCTGCCACCTTCTATTATGTTTGCCTACGCGCTCATACAGAACCCCTATTAAGAGGACACTTTTAGGACTAAAAAAAGTGTCCCGGATAATAGTTTTTAGCATGTTTTTCATATAATTTTATTTCTATTGACATAAGGATCAGAATGTTCAAGGTTCAAAATTGACAAGATTGGTTTCAAAATTATACAATTAGATAAATTTGTCTTATTTTGAGAGTACTGTAGTTGTTACGTTACAATAAAGAAAAACTAGGTCTCCCCTGAATTAAGGTTGTTTGAACATTTTTGTTGCCACACTTAAGAAGTGTCTCTGTCCCCGGAGTTGGCTGTAGTGTTAAAATATGTATTTCCCTTCATTTCACAGAAATGTGTCCCTTTAATAGTGGTGTCCCCTGAACAGGGTGTACGTGCAATTGATCTAAAACTAAAATCCTTCAAATGAAGGTAATTTATATTTTCTTGGTTTCAATATAATTTTAATTGAATACATAAAAATTTAATTATGAAAGATAAATTGATCCGTATTAAATTATGGAAGATTGATTCGTAAACTTCCAAATTCGTTTGATATTGTCATTTTATATTGTTGTATAGTTAACAAAATTCAGGACTTCCTAGTCTTGTGAAATCACAGAGGTATTTATAATTTAAAGTTTCTCCTAGCATATCTATCATCTTTGTGGTCATCATTATCATCATCACCATTATTTCACAATTCATAGACTGTTTATTTCGTGAAACACTATATAGACGAGTGACTTAATATCGTACTTCTTTAATGAAATCAAAAATACATAGGTCTATGACTCGGATACACATCTTTACTGTACACTTTACAATATATACTATCTTTATATTTCGATAGGAATCAGTAAAAATAGATTACCATGGGCGTATGAAGGGGGGGGGGGTCGGGAAGGTCGTACGAACCCCCACTCCCACAAAAACTTTTTCGAAGGTCCACATTTTTTCCAGACATTTTTTCTAGGGCCTTTTCACCATGACATAAATGAAAAAGCATTGATGAGGTACCAGCAGTGAGTCCAAAGACCTTGCCAATTGCGTGACATAATCTATCTCAATTCCAGCAATTCTGAAACTGAGCCTGCCATCTGCTTCAAGCAAATTGTATTGACATTTTAATCACATCTTGCTGTTATTTCATTGTGAAAAGGTCCAAAAAATTATGATCACGACCCACCCAGAAAAAATCCTGGATACACCCCCGATTACTTTAAAATCGTCAAGTGTAAACTTCACTAAACTCCCAAAGTTCAACTAATAACACGGACATAAAATAGTACATAACTGGCAGGAATGGCTATATCATATACATTAAATATACATAAATAATTTGGTCTTGGAAGAAGTCTAATAAGAACGTTGTATTGTACCAAAGAACTGCAAGAGGTCCGGACTGCCCTGTGATTTGTATGCACGAAATGAAACGTTAAAAAAAGTACTACCACATGAAAGGGGGCGCCCTATTAGAATTCCAATAGCATTGGAAACTCGCTCTTGACCGACGCACTCTAGTTCCCGGTATTACTTTTAGAAATAGGATTACGAAACCCCAAGAGTCGAACCTCTTTGATTGTATACACATGAACCACAAACGATTGGACAAGCACAAGAAAACATTGACCTCAGTTACGTAACAACTAGGGGCGGGACAGTGACATCTGAACAAACATTAAAGTGGATATTATCAGTATATGTTTTCTGCGCTGATTAAAACGGAAGACTTAAAAAACAAACATCAAACCTACAAAGAAAATAATTGTGCTTCTACATGGACGACTTCAAAGAGGGCTGTTTCAAAGTCGTGTGTAATTCTCATGTTATCTTGGTATGTGACGCTATAGCCTATAGACAATGGCGTATCTAGGCGGAGGGTGTGGGGTGGGTAGGTGAGCATGCACCCCCCAAAAATTACTCGAGCCCCCAGAAATCACGGTCAAGTAATTAAAAATTGACTAAAATCACCTTATTTTGCGAATTAGCGCCCCTCAACTGATATCGAGCCCCTCACTTCACCTTCGTGCGCCCAATCAGCACTCCCATTTCAAGACTTCTAGATACGCCACTGTCTGTATACAATTTTCTAATACTGTATATTTGTAATAACAAATGCAAATAGTCTATTTTCGATCAGTAGCACACCTAACCTTCATAGGTCAGATGTGATCAGAAATTTGTAAATGTACAGGTGCAAATGCTTGCGAAGCAATCGGACTGCAGTGTCTGATGATAAGGATTAGCATGACAACGATAATGATGATGAAGATGATGTTGACAATGACTGATGGGTGGAAATGACAATTATAATGATGATAATGATGATGCTGATGATAATGATGATGATGATGAAGGGAATAATCACTATATCCTGTGATGATGATTTTTGATGATTGTGGTGATGACAATTATTATACCGTAAAACCTAGAATAGAAGCGCTGGGCTTCTCTTTGTTTTTTTTTTTTTTGCAAACTTTGGATGGGTTTCTTTACAAAATGGGCTTCTTTTCGAGAGAGGGCGAGGGTACTTTTTCGACGGTAAAGAGGGGCCCAGACTTCATTTTGAAAAATAAATGCTGTAAATTTTGTAAATTACTACTATAAAACAATATAGTAACACCAGTCTGCATCATGGAGTGTATTAACTGGCATTAAATCACCTTAACTACTGTATAAACCAAGCTTGTTTTTTATTATTTTGTTTCTTTGAAATTCATATAAAGTAAAATTTACTGTACTATCTCGAAAAGAAGTGGGCATTTTTTTTAGGCTACTTTTGCAAACTAAAGAGGGGGCTTTAATTCTCAAGATTAAGCCCATTGGGCTTCTATTTGAGGTTTTACGGTAATGATTATGATGACGATCATTTATCATTATACAACTATGCAAAGCAAGTGAAATCAAATATTGGCCTCTAAATCTAATGATCTAATCATGCACAGAAATGAAATAAAGTAATACATATGCCACTTTATTTCATTTATATTCATGATTATAAATAGAAAGATAAATGAAATAAAGTTACATATGCAATGTAAAACACGCCCTAATATGATTATTGTAACAAACGATCGAATACCAAGACCACTGTGTCGTGCAACAGTTGAATCAGCATCGGTCAAAAAACCTTTCTTCGCTCAATGTGGGCACTTGACCACGTGATGCTGTCTGCTAATTGCCGATAGCCAGACTGAGTGGATTTTCATTATAAACAATACGCTGGGCATCGGCCTAAAACTGTCAATGTGCCCAACATTACACAAGTTCTCAAAAAGTTGACAAATGTGTCAGTTTGATGTTTAGGTTCAAGAATAATTCTGCAGCAGTTAAAAATAGAGGTAGCTTAGTACATGTGTCCAAATGAACAGCATGAGTTGAAATTATATAATTCCAAACAATAAATAGTATACATTAGATTGCCTAAAAAATTAATTTGTCCCTTGTTTTCATGTTTCCCACTACCTATTCAATGTTTGAATATGTGGCAAAGACAAGCCAAGCCAGTCACCAGATTATTAGATATCAAGGTTTTAAACAGTAAAATGAGAGCTATAAAATGGTAAACAAATCATTTAAATTCGACATTTCGTTATGAAATTACAGGAGTTTAAACATACATTACAGCTGTTTAAAGAACAATATTTCAGAAATCAGCCTTCAAAGTTGATGATTTCGGGCATTTCTTAGGCAGAAACCATCAGCAAATCGTTAAAAAGCGTTGTTTTAACATTGAAAATGGGGAAAATAACAGCTTGGCATGATATATAGACATTCCAGCATGTTTTGGCCAATTATCTCTGAAACAAGATTTGCAATGAGTGACTGGTTTGGCTTGTCTTTGCCACATATGCATGTGGTCAACGTGGAAACCATATTCTTAAAATTTTCTCGCCTCAGTACCACCATGGTGGGCCTACTTTGTGGTAGCTTGGTAAGTACAGTACTACCATTTGTAGGGCCTAATTATAGGTAACTGGTGAGTACCAATACGTTGGGTCTAATTGGTGGTATACTTATAGCTTGGTGGGTATTATATATATATAGAGAGCATACTTGTTGGAACAGCTTGGTGCATACCACTACATAATGCTTACTTGCTGGTAGCTAAAAAAAAACTCCCATGTAGGCCTACTTAGTGCTAACCCAGTTAATACTAATAACGTTACAATTTTCGTTATGTTATTTTGTAGAACGAAAAATACGTACTCATTCATTCCTGATGAAGACATAACTACGTACTAACTCACCCTGATGATGACATAATTGATGTCGAAATATTGAATCCTGACAAGATGGCGTGAATTAAGTACTGTACGTACTTATAATGCCAATTTCTATCTTTATTATACAAACTGGAAAGTATGTTAATTAGGAATCAACAATTCTCCCATAGAGCCCAGTTAAAAATAGCACACAAAAATATTAACCATTACGGAAAAAAACAACAGGGGAAAAACATTAAAAACTTTACAAAAAAATTTATAAATATATAAAAAATATAACTTAATTAAATATGTTGGTCTTAATATAATATAACATAAAATTTACCATGTCAATAAAAAAAATGCTTAATATGTATTCTAATACAATTTAAATGCTAACTAAAAAAAAGTAACGCGATTCTCTAGAGGAATTTCATGAAGTTTGCAGAAATAAATGCGGTGAATGAATAGCAAAATCCATTTTCATTCCCCAAGCAGCTCCCACCTCATGGCAAAACCAACCCTCTCACCACCCACAACCCAACCCGTACATCACCCTCTTTTCTCCTACAACATATTCACATTTCACATCCTGGCAAAAAAATAAAACTTCATTAAAATTTTATATACACATATCGGAATATCTTTTAACCTACAGTGGTGGAATCACAGGGAAGTGTATCCTCGGTCTCTGCCTCCCCACTCCGAAATATGCATCTAGTGCAAATTTATCAACAAAACAACGCATAGTATGTCTGCTTTAGTACACTGTACACTGATGTTCTTCTTTGATCACATTCCTCTCCAAATTCAATCACGTAGCATAAACAAAAAGAAACCAATTCTTATTTACTCTTTAATGCTTGCTAAGATTGTCAAGTTTTATGCGGCTGAATTCAAAAGTCACAGGTCTGAAAGTCCTTGGTAAAGAGTCATTTTTTTGTGAGAAGGGAGGGAAATTTCAGCCTCTGTTTTCAAGTATACTAACTATATCTGGTCGTTTTAATTCTATTGCTATCTTCTTTAGTTCTTCCATGCTGCATTCCCGGACAGGATCCTTCATGCATTCCCAGTGGTAAATTAGAATCTCTGTACAGAATTTGTTCAATTGCGGAGCAAGCGATTGCACAATATCAATAGCAGAATAGTCTAAACCTGTAAAAACAATAAAAAGGACCATATAAATATATTACTGTTTACTCATAATGATCAGTGGTGCTTCAGAGACTTAAGCAAACCCAACGATTGATAAGCCATTGAAACAAAGTCTCCTTAAAAGTAAATTTTTGCTTCAGAATCCTATTTATTGCTTCTTTTGTTTCAAGGACCTCAATTCTCCAAGTTTTTCTATTTGCTTCATAAGTCAATCATCCTAATTAGTCACATATTTATGTTAAAAATCCTCCCTCACCTATCTTGAGTTCTTTTTGTGTCAGAAGCCAATGAGATCATTTGTTTCAGAATCTGAATGCTTCAGAATCCAATGAGATCATTTGCTTCAGACGTCCTGTGCAATCCCCTTTTCAGGTCTGTCCAGATTATTAATCTTCCTTTGACAAAAAAAACTGTTGTATGCCCATATATTAGTCATGATATGCCTATATATGGTCATGATGTGATGTCATCATGACTATATTTAGGCATATCACATGTTTGGCAGATTAACACCGGTGGCAGCCATGATCTAGGCTGGTTTCCCCCTGGACATTTTCCAATGGGTCGGAGGAGGGGGAGGGGTGGGGTAAGGTTCCGGGGATATGTTACAGGGAAAATATCCAGAGGTAGGGAAAAAATTCTGGGGTATATGTCAAGGAGGTAACCAGCCTGAACCTGGCAGCCATGTGTCGGTTGTTACTTACCGATTTCTTCTGCCAGTTCTTTCCACCATCCATGAGCATCTGAGTACACAAATAATGTTTGACGCTGTGATGGTGGCATTTGTAATGAATCCTTATAACAAACTTTATTCGAGCGAATTGCATATACTGTTTCTTCTATCTATAAATATGAAGAATAAATAGTAATATTTAATAATGATAGTTATTCATTTTCATTTTTCTATTTACTCATCATATCATATTAACTATAAGAAATCATGAATTAGCATTAAAACAAACCAAAAAGTTGCAAATAATTAAAAACATTAATATTTAATAAATAAAGTGTTACAGCGTGACAGACAGGACAGTAACAAACTTAGGACTACAGCAGCATACAAACTATAATTTAACAATTGATTCAATTTATATTGTTAAAAACAAACAATTTAAAAAAAATCTCAATTATTTTATTTATTTATGAAAATGGTGCCAATTAATAAAATATTTATTACTTACTGAGTCTGAGCGAAAATGCCGAAAACAATCCCTGAAATAAATGAACACAATACTGTAAGTTTGCCTGTCTGATTGCATTATAGTAAGGAGATTTCGATATGTGCAACGATGCGATGCTAAAACGGATTCACTCACAGAGTCACTGTCCTACTTTCTCTGCACACTGTAGACTTTGGCCAAATTGCGTAGAATCTATGCGACCGCGAGAACTCAGCATTCTCTCAAGCGCAGATGACTTTATGTGACATCATTGCGTTCTATGTCCTACTGTTGTCGTGCAATCGAGGGCTCCCTATTAACTATTTTAGTACTGCACAAGCATACATCCTATATTTACAAAAACTGATTTAATTTCCATTGAGAAAAAAAAACAACATTTTATATCCAAAAAGATCTAAACTAATTAATATAGTTCAATAGCGGGATTTGGTGATGGGCGTCACATGACCTAACTTGGGTGTTGGATATAAACAATCGACTGGCACAGCGGTGTTTTACATGGAGATGGCTATTGCGGCCGTCTCTTGTTATTGCTGTAAAGATCATCATAATTCCGAGTAAACTATACCATATTGATTGGAAAGTAAACCAGAGAATTTTACCTTAATGGTTTGCTAATGCTGTAAAGGATACTGGTTGCAATCATTGAGTTTTTTTGACAAATGTTATGCCTAGGCCCCAGCACATCTAGGGCATGGTTAGGTATGCATGATGGTCTTCGACTCGCGAACTACGCTGCGATGTTAGGGCTAGCTAAGGTTTATGAAGGATCACTTAAATTTCAAAGCACAATCCTAGGAGAACGCTAGGATAAGTAAATAAACACTATTTTGAACAATCGTATTGCCTTTCCTAGCCATTTATTTCTCATGTTAACAGTGGGTGGTTGTTTTCGCAACCATAACATTATCTTTTCCTATACTATCGCACTGTAATGTTTTTCGTGTATACCCAAGTTATGTCACGTGACCACCTGTAAATAAACATCACCGAATCCCTCTATGGTAGAACAGTATATCTAATAAATGTAAATTCTTACTTGATAGGGCGAGCTGGGGGGAGAGGTGTTGGTGGCAGGGGAACATTATTATAATTATCTCCATTATATATATTAACATATGAATCTAATCCATCATTTTCTGTATCACTTATTTCGTCTCCATGATGGTTGTTATCCTGCTCAGGAATTGAATCTAAAAGTAAATACAGAAAGAATCATTTAAAATTCTTATTCAATATGATTATCTCACAAAACGAGTAACATTATAATAATAATAATAAGGCCTATTGTATATTACCATTATTTTTAATTCTTAAAGCATTGTATGGCAAGTATCAATAAACAAAACCTTTAAACTTTTGGTATACCATGTGTAAAAATATTGTTTTTATGTAAAACCACTGGTTGGTTGTCTCAATGTTTCAGTAAGATTGCTCTGACCATCATCGCCATTATTTTTAACATCAAATTACTTTTTTAAGAGATTTTTATGCCTGATTGTTGAGACAATATACTTTTTAGAACTTTTTACAGATGTTAACGTGACAATTGTAATGGTTTTTGAGATGCCTACTTACCTGTTGGAGCTGGTGTTGGTAAAGGTGGCCGTTCATCAATGTTGCTTTCATTACCTTTTACCATGTTATCAATGGCATCTTTTATCCGTTGCAGGTAGTGCGGCTTCTCAGCAGAAAACAAGAAAAAACCTGTCAAAGTTCAAGCAAAATATTGGGTCAATTGAGTCAAATATAACATTAAAACTCCTAAACAATAAATAAACTGATAGATTTATTGTGAAGTGGAAAAATATGAGAAATTTTCAAAAACCTGAAAACTCAAAAATCAAATGTAAAGCTATATCCAGATTATCAAATTTTGTTAGAAAAAAAACCTAATGTATGCCCATATATAGTCATGATGTGCCTATATATGGTCATGATGTGATGTCATCACGACCATATTTAGGCATGTCACATGCCTTTTTTTTCAAATAAAATTTGACAATAATCTGGACAGGCCTTATGTACAGTTTTAATTTTTCATTCCTATGGCAAAAAGTTCTGTCTGTATAATCTATATATATGAATAAACATTTTTTTTTCAAATTTGATCTTTAATATAAAAAGATACTTTAAGGTGGTTTCAGTTCAAATTTTATTGGAGAAAAAAAAATTGTGTGACTGCCCATATAAGGGCATGATTATGTATGCAGACTCTCTAAACAATATCTAGGCACACAATAATGCTCCATTTTTTTTTCAGGTCGGTTATATTTTGTACGCTCTCTCTGGGCGTACTTCAACAATTCATGACTTACTGTACCATGCATGTGCTACTTGAGAGAAAAAGAAAGAAAACCAAAGAGAGAGAAAGAAAAAGAAATAATTTATCGCCCAAAATGCCTCAGATGTTATTTTCAGCGGGCGGGTATATTGAAAAAAAACCAAAAAAACAGGGGCATACCCCGGGTCATTAAGGCAGTGTTCTTTCTATAGGGCCAGACATTCCTCCCCCCACCCCTGGACACTTTCTCAGGTATTTCCCCTCTCCCCCGGATATTTTTTTACCTCAGAATTAATTTGTTCTTATTTTGTTCTTAAGCTTTAAGCAATTTCAGCCTCAGTTCTTATAAAATGTGTTCTTACAAAAAATGTGTAGTTTAATGGCTTAATGTATGTAATTCATATTGTTTTTTATGTTTGTATAATTATAATAATCCATGTCTTCACTAGCGTTATATCATTTAATGATGATAATGATAATAATAACAATAATAATAATAATAATAATAATTACAATAATAATAATAATAATAATAACTACTTAATAACTATAAAGAGCAAATGTAATAACCTTGTTTATTCTGCATGGATAATAATTTAATGATAATAATAATAAAAATAAGAATAATAAAAATGTAATAACTATAAAGAGCAAATGTAATAACCTTGTATATTCTATATGGATAGCATTTAAATAAGTTGAAATACATAATCTAATGTATTTTAGTTTAATAAAAAAATAATTATGTAGAAATTATAGCTCTGTAAGTTTTTACTTTCAGTATAGTAATTCATTTCTTATATTATTTAGATACTCTGCTGCCTAGATTTGTATAAATACTGTTGTTAATTGTGCAATTGATTTAGTAAAGATTTAATATAAAAGAATAATAAATCTTGATGCATTCATCGCATTTAAATTCTTGTATTTAACATATGATGTAAAGGGGGGGGGGGGAAGTCTGAGGAGCAAAGGTTCGGTGAAAAAATGTCACAGGGGGAAAATGTCTAGGGGAAAAATACCAGCCTGCTTCCTTCTTAGGCACTATCGGACTCAGATTCCAAGTGTACATTTTCATTAACATCAGTGTTGAACTTTACACTTCTCTTCTGTTTACAATACTGAACGAAATGTCAAAATTTTGCACAACCATGACATTCCTTGTCAAAAGTACAGCATGACCACATACCATTCTCATAAGCGTATGGCTGTCCACAATTGAAACACTTTGTTGTCTTCCTGGATTGCTGCTTCGACTGATGATACTTCTGTTTTGTTGTTTTCTTCGGCGGTCGCGTACTGCACTTTGGTTGAACTTTGCGCTGTGCACACTTTACTGACGATGTTGACGCGCAGCCATTTTCAATCTCCTCCCTTTGATTTGCTGTGAGTCCATTTGTTCTCCCTGTGATGAGTAACTGACTCAATGTCATGTTCACACACAATCCTTGTTTTTGTAACTTAGTATCCACCATTGTTTTTATTATATGGCTTTTAATTTCAACATCAATATCATGAAAGTCACAATTATTAGCAGACTGTCTCAGTCTTACATGATACTCTAGGCTCTCACCTTGTTTTTGTGTCTGTCTTCTGAACATTGCTCTCTTGTATTCCGTATTAACTGTTGATAAAAAATAGTTCTGCAATGCTTCTTTTGCCTCCCGATAAGTTGTTCCGGTATTTGGCAAGGACTCAAAGGTTTTGTAATTGGTGGGGCCTACCAAATGGAGTAGTAGTGCTCGTTTTCTCAGGTCATGTGTTATGTTTGTGGCGATCAGATAGTTTTCAAACCGGCTTACCCAGTTTGTCCATGCTGTCGGGTTTGTCGCGTCGAAAAAATCCAGTCCAATTCCAACTCCAACTTGGCAGTAATTTTCCACGTAATTCACACAAAATTCCATTTCAAAAGAACTTATTTATCTTGTCGCCAATGTAATTTACAATGCAAAACATGGTATCATATATGCAGGCTCAGTAAATAATAACTAGGCATACAATGCTCCAGTTTCAGTTCAGTTCTATTTCATACACTCTCTGTGCATATACTCCCACAATTTATGACTTACTTTATCATACATGTGCTACCTGACTTCTTATGGGGTCACTTGCATTATGGTCAATGCTGTTACAGTACTAAATATATCGCAACACTACAAGGTCATATCACAGCACATCCATATAAGGACAAATCACTGTAAACATCACATAACTACACAGGATGGGCAGGACTTCGGAAACTAAAACAGTCATAAATATGATGTCTATAGCCAATATTTCAAAGAAGAGTCTATAAATGAAAACATTAATCACATATGTAGTCTCATACTAATACGTCATTGGCTGACAATGCTCCTCTAGGCAATTGCAAAAAATAAATTCTTTCCTTCATGTTTTCCATTCATTACATTTGTTCATTCAGTTTTTATTTATGCTCATTGACCCTGGAACTGAAAGCCAAGCATCTTAAAGTCTGTTCAAACTATCAAATTTTATTTGACAAAAAAACATGTGATATGCCTAAATATGGTCATGATGACATCACATTATGACCATATATAGGCACATCATTACTATATATGGGCATGCAACAGTTTTTTTAAAAAGAAAATATGATAGTGTGGAGACATATCTGATGCCGCTTCGTGATTATTTTTTCTCTCTTATCAATATATCTACCCTACTCTAATTCAAAGTTCATTGGCACCATCATGGGTTGGGTATTACTATCACTTATGCATCTATAAATAATTGGGGAAGAAAACAAGTTCCTGTTTCTAATTGCAAGCTATAGTACTGAAAATATAATTAAAGCATTTAAGAATATGCATAAAGCTTAGAGGTCATCAAACTATATATATATCTTTACTGTTTTACTGACATCATGTTAGGATAAAGAAATTACAATCAGAAATGAATTAGAATGAAGTGAGCATGTACAAAAGAATCCTCTTTCTTCACCATATAGGACTCCCCCAGCCAATGACACACCCCTACCCCATCCAAACTTAAGTTATTGTTACGTTGTTAATTTCTGGTAACAACTCTTGGGATCACAAATGACGACATTCACAAATAAGTAACTTTAATCAGTTTTATTTCGTCTGTATATGAGCCCTGCAAGTACTGATGACTTAGCCCAATCCCATACGGTTGTCATCTGCCAGCATCTACTTGGTCCCCTCTCAATTTTACGGCATTCATTACGCATAAATGCGCACAGCCTTAGTGGTGTACGTACTTCTATGTTTGGATATATTATTATTAAGAGGCACAAAAGTTACAAGTATGAAATGGGCTAGCACTTCTATGGCCTAGCTCAGACTAGGTGAATAACCCGGCTCACCTCACCGGGTTTACCCACCTGCCAGTCTGAACTAGGTGGCTTATCTCAAGCTGGGCTGTGTTCCTAACTATGCCAGGCTTTAATCGTTGCAGGGGGTTTGCATTGACTTTCGGGTGACAAAATGACATAATCAGTATTCAATTACGTACGCTGTGAGCAAGCGTACGTTTCACAAGCAATGTTTTGAAACATGTTTCCTGGATACGGTTCATTATCATGCAAATTCTCTCCTGGCTAATCCCGCTAGTCTGAACGCCTGGCAAAGTTAAGCCAGGCTTAACGTTGAGCCGGGCTTAACTCAAGACTGGCTTATCCCCGAGTCTGAACAGCTATAGCCATTATTATTATGACATTATGATGCCTTGGCCAAATTAAGCAGAATTTAAAAAAAATTATATTTATAATATGAATATCCTAATTGGAAATATAGGCTAGGCCCCAAGGAACTCAGTACAGCAGCTGGAGTCCCCACAACCTATCTCCCCCCATCCCACCAGTACCTTCCCCAACTACAATAAACAATTCCATAAAAGCTCACCTGAATCTTTTATTTCTAAACCCATGACATCCGTGTTACAATGGACTCTTTTAATTCTGTCCAGATTCCAACGTTTATAGAATCGTGGTGGATTTAGGTGAGCTAGGCACACAGACGACTGCGTCACATGCAACGTTTTCTTCCTACAATCCGTATCACTGTCAGGAAATCCCTCTTTTGGGTAAATCAACCAACTTCCTAACGAAACAAAGGCATACAGAACATTATATTATTATACGACATCATTTACTATCATAAATATTATTACTATCCAAATTACTAGTGAAGCTGTTTAAGAAGTTTGTTTATTCCTATGTTATTTTACCATTACTATCACGTATGGTACATACAATGGTTCTACGATCTCTTCATAGGCGTAGAGTGTCGGTTCGGGGTGGCTGTGCATGTGTAGACGCACAGCAAATTAGTTCCACTAAGTGGGTTATAATTCTAAAAATGACCATTATGAATTTATTGGAATAGAGATTTAGTTACGCATTCTCAGTTTTCACAGTCCACCTCCCCACCCCCAAGGCCATGGAAATCCAGCCTACGAGCCTGTTATTCAATGCATTATCATCGTCACTTATATCATCTTCATTGTTTCTGCATCATAATATTTACTAATAGCACCAAGCATGGACCAAGTATAAAGGACGATAACAATCAATTTTTTTAAATCCACTAATAATGCATCTACATCAATAAAAAAAATAGAATATATGTTTATACCAAGGTTGAAGCCATAATTTAATAAATATTAAGTCAATGATAAGTGTTAATACAAATACCTCTTATTAGAATTAAGGTCCAAGGCTATAGAGCAAACTATATATGAAGAGATTATATCATGTATTATCTCATTCACTACAGATTTAGTTTTATGGAATAAAAATACCATAAATATGTATCAGCAATGGTTAGTTCTAGTATGTGTCTTTTACTTGTTAGATTTTTTTATTTGTTGATAAATAAATAGCTAGACAAATTAATGTAGAAAGAATGAATGCAGGTTTCAATCTAAATACAGACCCCTCCAATTAAAGACCACCTCCAATCAAAGGTCAATTGTACATTCATTTTTTTTTTTAAGAAAGTTATTTTTGGACATTTTTATTTTTATTTTTTATTTATGAAAGTTCGGTACAAAACCCGGGGAGGCAAGATAGCCACACTGACTGGTGGCTAATAATTAGCTTCCCCCTTAAATAAGCTTAAACTACTAACCAACAACACCAAAAAATGTATTTATGTATTTTCTTTCTGAAAAAAATGCCAAGTTCAGAATATCCTAAAATAAGGACTTGGATGTTCCACGCTTGTTTATAACACAGTACAACTCAGCAATCTAATCCATGATTAAGCTTGCTAATGCGTAAGACAGCTGCTTATGAATTAAAGATCATAATCATTGATGTATACTGAAATATGAATATAATAGGGCTCTTCAGAATCTAATCCAAGCGGGGTGAGATGTTAGCTACTCTTGTTAAAACGCAAACCCATATTGAGAAAAGAAAAAAATTATCAAGAAGCATCAATGAGGGAAAGTACCTCCTTAATATTTATAAGTTCAGCAATTTCAAAATTCCACGAATGTGCCCTATGTTTCCATGAATTCAATTAGTCTAAGGATGTCAACAGCTTTAATGACCAACTTACTGTGTTGTACATATTGCTTAAATTTCCTGTGCCAAATGCTAAGTTCTTCAATGACCGACGACTGGAACATAATGGTCTCTTCCGTCAGGATAACAGCAAAATACGCTATACTTTCTCGTTTGTTGGTCTTCACACGTCCCTGCTCAGTTCCGACAAAATCATGTCCGTGTATGTAGAGTATTTTACTTTTCTTATCATATTTTTCGGTGTCGTCTTTGTAAAGACATAATTGATAGCTGTTATTGGAGCCTGGAAACAAAATCACAAAATGAAACTCAGTAATAATTAAGTGCACATGTTCTAAATTCTTGGACGAGCTGTGATTTTTGTGGGTAGGGAGCACACATTCATATGCCATGGTTATAGGTTCAAGAACTGCATGGAGCATAAAGTATTTATATATTCTTAAAAAAAAAAACAACTCAAAAGCCACACTAAGTTGTACCAGGAAGTCACTTGATTGAAACTGACCTGAAAAAAACGCTTGAATTGCTGCTTGTTTTGAAACCCTTTGTAAAGAAAGTTTTAAAATGTAATTGATAGAAACATAATTTTTCAAATAATAATAATGGTATTCACGCTGTTTATCAACAGTGACTTCTAGCGTTGACTCACGAAGGTCAAACAACAGCTAATTTGCATTAAGATCACTCTATGGTCTGGGTAACTCTATGGATCATCGCGGTTATACAGGGTTACTAACTGCGTTTATGGCCACTTCGGCAACTTTAACATCTATATCAACGGATAAACACGATCATCACGGTGATCTCCTGCCGTGTAAACAAGGCTATTGATAAAAATGTGAAAAATAACAAAACTGATGAATTACGTTGGAAGTCATGGGTGAATCAAGAAGTTTTTTTCCGCAAGGGGAGGGGTTGTTTAGTACCAATTGAGGACATATACGCGAGTCAAATGGCTGAGCGGTTAGCAGGGGCACCGCAAGCTACAGCCATAATATCGGCGCTCGCCTATGGTTCTGGTGGTAGAACAAATCTTCTAGGACGGACTATAAACCGTAGGCCCAGTGTATACAATGGCTCGTGTGCACTATAAAAAACTCAGTATATCCATCCTCCGAGACGAGTAGGGGGTTACCCCGGTGTACTGGAACGGACAGCCCCTGTGGTAGATGACGAGAGTTGCTGGTACCGGGTTACCGGGTAGTACAGACACAAAGGGACCCTTAGGAGTGAAGAAAGTCATTGGTCGAGTTGTCCCAAGTGCCCTGAGCATCTTGCATTAAATGATTCATGGTGTTCTTGACCAACTGGGGGTCTAGGAAGCAAGCATGCCACTGGAAATTCTGGAGTTTTAAATTGTAATCTCTATCTAAATGTGTTCACACCTATTTGCGATTTTTTTACTACTGTCTGCCAGCAAGGAGAGTATCTGTTTCGTTCATACTCTAGATAAACATGACCAAATTGTCTATTTATCATTATATTACAAGTAGACAGAATCTAAATTGACTTACCATTTACCACCTTCTCTAGAATAACCCATCTCTGAAAGTAAATTTAAACAAAATTATAAATCCATATAAACAATATCATAGATGTTCATACTTAATAACTAATAATTGTCTTATAGTAGTAAGCCTATAGCATGAACAGATACATGGATATATTAAATTGGGCTAACATCTCTTCTTTGTTTTCTGTTTCATACCTACATTTAAATTAAACCTCTCATTGTTAACATACCACAATACTTTATTGTTTTATTTATTTAGATATTATATTCTGTATAAAAAAAAATCAATTGAGGAGAAGTCGCCGACATTCCTTTTTGGGAAAAGGTAAAACGTTGTCATAGATTGCAATCGTTGGCAAACGTCATAACGACTTGACCACGAACGCCTCGTGGTGAGCCACGGGCCAATAGAACCTATTTTCCTTTAACAACTTGATCGTGTCTGATGTCACAATTTTGATATAGTGCTAAATATATATATTGTATATTCCCATCTATTATTATAGGTTATACAAATGTAAAACTGTTAGAAATGTGGTGTAAATCATGGAGAACCTGTACAATATGAGTCAAATAGTGTTAAAAAAATTTTTAATTTTTTATAAGGGTTGAGAAATAACTGGTCAGCAAGATAAGAGGAAGCAACAAATTAATACATGAAATCAAGGACAAAACTATAAACAGCAAGTGTTGTTTATATCCTATATCGAAACAGTGTTTATTGTTTGCTTAACTATACACAGTTGACTTGACAGTTTTGTTTGGATAATTTTCCTCACTGCTAGTCATTCTACATGGAAAAGAAAAAAAAAATTAAAAGGGGCACAACTTTGTGGAGGTCTTGGGTTCTGACTTGCCCATTTTTCAGGTTCCTTTTATCCGGGTAAACGATTTGTAAGAGTCTTAATCAACTATATACATGTCATGAAATTATGATAAACAGAGACCACAAATACTGTCATTTCTGGAACCTGTTGCTTTTATTTCCCGCTGTGCACAGCACGTACGTACAATTTTAATATGGGCTCTAATGTATTAAGTAAAAGAGCCTGCTAAGGCCACTGACGTATTAAGGAAACTTGTTTTTAGAATAATGGCAGTAATCATAACAAACAATTTGGCAGCACAGGCACCAATTGATAATTGCCTTTAGAACGAGGTCTGTCAACTTTGCGACATACAGTATTAAGACCTGTCTAAATTATGAAAAAAATGTAGTACCTGTGTTCCCACATAGAGTCATGACCCACCTATATATGGTCATCATGTGATGTTATCATGACCATATTTAGGCACGTTTTTGTCAATAGTTTGATAGTCTGGACAATGCTTTAGGTTCAGCTACTGTACTATCTGTGCATGGAAGCACAGAGATCAGTGCATAATACTGGTCCCTGGGTCGATTGCATCCGCTGCCTTCCAGGGGTTCCAAGTCTTTCGGAACTCGCGAGAGTCTCCCGGAAATTGGGACGACATTATGTACGCACTCCCGCAAGCAAGCAAGCAAAAATCTCTTGGAAATAAATCATCTCTCCTGCAAATTCATAATTGCATGTTTCAATATTTTATTATCAATTGTATCACGGAAGCCAGTGCAGATGGGTATCGCTATGTGCAGTAATAAAATTAAACGTGTTTTAACAAACTCTAACCACTGCAGATGAGTGGAGGATTCAAAAGGAGGGGAAACAGCTAGTCTGGGGCCCCTGAACTTTATAAAATTATCAAAAAAAAAAAAAAAAAAATGGGGAAAAAAAAAAATTATATTCTAAATTGTCATTTCCGGCCATCTAAATGTGCCATAATCATAAATTTTCCT